CGAGGACGCACGTGCGGCCCCGCCCTGCTCCAGGCCCTCCAATCAGAGCGCGCCAGTGTGCCACTAGCCCCGCCCCGCCGCGCTAGGCCTTTCGGGAGCTCGGTCCGCCCACGCCGCGCGGGGCCGGGTCTCTGCTGGTTCTGGCTCGCACCTGGGGAGCATCGTCAGCCGCTCCCCCTCACCCCGGAGTCACCGTAGTGCGACTCTCAGCACCCCTCAGCCTTTTGGGTGGGGACAGGGCGTCAGAGGACTCGGGAAGGGCAAAGAGCGGGGCCTCCGGTCTCTGCCCTCACCCCCTGAGGGTTACTAAGCGAGGCCTGGCACTTCAGGCCGAGGAGGGACAACGTTTGCTGAGCACCTACTGTGTGCCGGGCCACGGCGGTACCGCGGTGATAGAACTCAGAGTGAGGAGAGGGAAGGCAAACCAGAGAAGGGACTTGTGGTTGTATTGTTGAGACAAACAACTGACTGCCACACTGGGATACCTTGCACCTAATTTGGGGGAGAGAAGCAAGGAGAAGCTCAGGGTGGACACCTGCGGATAGCCGGGCAGGAATCCGACGGAGGAGGACTCGGAGAGAGGATCGTAGGCGAAGGAAGGCCTGTGGGCAGGCGGCTCGAGCAGCCAAGCTGAGAATCTAGAGAGTTCGGTGGAGCCAGAACACAATCTGAATTCATCTTCCTCCTTCCTCAATCTGCATCTCTGGCCCAGCGTCCTACCCACACCTAGACAAACAGGTGGGCGTGGGGGGCACAGAGTTGGAGGTCACCGGCAAATGCACGGTGGCTAAAACCCCAGAGTGGCTGAAATGGGCCGGGTCAAGTTCTAGATGAGTGAAGGTGGAGGACAGAACCCTGGGAAACAGCCTGGAAGAAGAGGCAGAAGGGAAAATCCAGCAAAGGTATACAAAGGAAGGAAAGCGACAGAGAATCAGATGACTGCCTGCCACCATCACAGTGTCAGTGCCTAGCAGTGTCTGGCGCAGTGTGGGCTCTCAGGAACAAGCCAGGTGAAAGCAGACCATGGACCAGCTATGTGAAGTCCAGTAAGTTAAGGACCAGAAAATGCCCGAGGATTGGCAAGAGGTCAGCTTGAGAAAGTGCAGCAGAAGTCAGACTAGATGGGTCTCATCTATTGGTGTCTCAAAAAATGAGCCCAGCATGGTACAGAGCTGCGAGTCCCAGGTCCAAATCCTGGCCACACCACTAACATGAGCTCTAGGCCTTCTATTCTGACTGTTCCAAATACCGCAGCCTCCAAAGGTGCCCCTCACATTTTGGGGCAGGAAAAAGGAACTCGTTTTTTAATAAATAGGAAAATATAGTAAAATCATTGAGACAGTATGTCATTGAGCATTGATTGCAAAGTACTTCAACTTCATACTTTATGCAAAGACCAGCACATGTTCTAAAGTTTACAAAACATGTTGACCACTTCAAATTCTGGAACTCACTGATGTGCTTCCTAGCATGTTACTGTTCCCACCTGCTATCATCCTTTGTCGATGTCACAATGAGTATGTTTTTAAGTAGAAGTTGCTCTATTTCTGAAGAGGATTCATTTCACACATTTTCTTGAAGGCTTTTTCTATGTTCTTAGATTGGGTTCCTATCTCCTTTAGTCTTCTTAAGTTGAGTTTTTACCCATAGTTTAAGGACAGCGTCTTGATGATTCTTCAGTTTGGAAATTTGTTCTCATTTAATTGCCATTTTCCTGACTAAGCTCTACTTAATATTCTGTGTCGGCACAGCCTGCATGTCT